CTTATAATTATAGTATAACGGGCCCTTAAACCCCCCATTCTAGTGATTAAGGCCCCTATATTAAGCCGTTTTCAACCCTAGAAGAGAAGAAGCACCGCCCCCTTAGGCTAAACGAGTCTTCGATGGGAAAGCTGTCCGGGGCCAAGCCCGCGTTCTCGGGACCTTCTGCCGGGGTCATGGTTTGCCCTCCGCCAGGGTTGGGTCTCTGGTAGGGCTTAGGGTTTAGGGTTGATAGGGTTTGGGCTTTGGGCTGTGGGTGAACTTGTGTAGTAGGGTTTAGGTTTCAATCAGGGCTTGGCTTAGGCTTCAGGGCTTGTGAGTCATGTGGCTAAGCCCTAAACCCTAAACCCTAAACCCGAAACCCCAACACGATTCAAGAGCCCCCTCGTCTGGCCCTTGCAAACCGAAGCCGTCCTGAACAGTAAATCCTTACTACAGGGGCCTTAATGATTGCATATATTTATTTGGTCCTTATTATATACAACTATAGCATAATATACCCCGAAACCCTATTCCAATTATTAAGGCCCCTACATTGAGTCAGTGGTTGTGAAAGCCATGCTGGCTCAACATACATGGGTAGTTGTCAAAATCATGGTCCCTTTTGGGGTACCCTAAATAATAGGTGCCGTATGATAATAAGGACCCAAAAAGGGAGCATAATTTTGACAAGCACCCACATGCTTCCAGAGTATACGCGTGCTCGAGCAGTTGCCTTTGTCAAGCACTTGCAGAGCCATGTCCCCAAAGGGTCCATGTGGTTTAGGGTTTAGGGTGTAGGGTTTCGTGGTATATACCTTGGCCTCAAATTAGTATTTGGCTACGTTAGAGACATCGTATATACTCTAAATCCTAAACCCAGAACCCAAACCCAAAACCGTACACCCTAAACCCTATGCAGTATTTGGGCACATGGACGCTTAGGGGTCGTTCAGTGGTCTGCAGGCTGAGTTCAGTTCTGCATTGGATCTTTGCATCAGAAAGGGTTTAGGTTTTGTCTAGGGTTTAGGGTTTAGGGTTTAGGGTCAGAAAGGGTTTAGGTTTTGTCTAGGGTTTTATACTTCAAGACCCGAAGAACCAGAAGCTCGAGCTGTTGCTGGCATGTATCGTTTTGTCGAACAGCTGGTGACCCGTCTGGAGGTTATATGCGCGCACGCGCGCACGCGCGAACGCTTGCCAGTTTGATATGCACTTGCAGGGTTTAGGGTTTAGGGTTTCTAGGTTTAGGGTTTAGGGTTTAGGGTTTAGGTTTAGGGTTTAGGGTTTAGGGTTTAGGGTTTAGGGTTTAGGGTGCGACAACCTTCGCGCCAGGGTCTCGGGCTGACCGTGCAGGTTTTAGCTGACCAGAAGAAGCCGTGGAGATTCTTTGGGGGAAGCCCGACGATGAGACGTGAACGTTCCTAGAGACTCCAATATCCCTTAATTAGGGAATATACCTCAACAAAATAGGAGGATCCGTAAAATGATTTAAGGCTTAAGGTATATGCCTTTATTAAGGGATATTGGAGTTTCTGGGTTTTGTTCAGTGTCTCGAACTTGGACCTGGCTACACGTCTTAGGGTTTAGGGTTTAGGGTTTAGGGTGATAGGTCATGTATTTGGTAAAGCTAAACCCCTAAACTGTGACTCCTGAACCCTGAACACTGAGCCGAAAGCCGTCTAAGGGCTCAGAGCCTGCACTTAGCTTTAAGGCCTAAGGTTTAGGATTTAGGGCTACTTTCTGCTTGACCAACCCCCAAAAATCCTGATCCGAAACCCTCTAATCCCAAACCCCCGGACCCGAGCACCTTGACTCATGTTGGCAGGTAGGGTTTTAGGGTTTAGGGTTTAGGGTTTAGGGTTTAGGGGTTTAGGGTTTAGGGGTTTAGGGTTTAGGGTTTCGGGTTTAGGTATTGTGAAAGACGTGGGCGCCGCATCTGGATGGACGAAAGACTGCCTGTTTATAAAACCCCCTTTAGAACCGGAAATAGCAGCAGTCGTCGTCCTCACCGTAAATCCCCCATACACCCTAAACCCTAAACCCACGCCCTTACAGGAACCCTGATCGGAACCGCTACACGAAAACTTGTGGGAACAATTAGAACAAGGCTTCCAGGAACATTTCAAGGGAACGCCTAAAAGCCTGAGGCCCTAAACCCTAAACCC